AAAGACAAACTCCCGGAGTGGTTATATTGTAGCGGGCGCAGGAGTCCAGCTGGGCAACAGAACCGACTGGTCTAGTTTTAATATTTCGTGCTCGCTGGTAAAGATCGCTTTATTGGATTGACAAAAGCAACGCAACCTTGTGGATGAGTATGAGCGTCAGTGTTGACGGGTTGACGGGTCGACGCTGACGGGGGACAGGGGACGACGGGACGATCGAGAGACGCGCAGTAGTGGATAATTTGGGTTTGTTTAACCTGACAGAAATCGATATCTGATCCTGATACAAGTCCACTTGTAGGCTCGCAGCAATGCTCTTGACACCCGTGTTCTGCTTGATGCTTGATCCTCCTGTCTGAGGTCCTGGGGTGCAACAAAGAGGAAGAGAGCAGAGGGCAAGAGGATAAATGATTCAACAAAGTATAAGTATGAATCCAATTAGGAGGCCTTCAGATTTGAGACTCGGGGTCTGTAACAGAATCAATATGATGAGGAAGAAAAAACAATATTGATTTATGACCAACCAGAAGAGAGGAACCAGAACGCTGTACTTATAGATATTTAGATCATGTAGGTACTAAGACAGGTACGTTAGCATTCGGCAGCAGATGTTGTTTATATTCCCGTACTAATTTGGACGACTTTCAAGCCAAGTAGGAGTCTACCTGGTCTATTTGCCTTGGTATTATTGATTTTTCCTTACGGTCCGTCCCTCCTTTGCCCCTGGACCCTCTTGTGTCTTGGAGCTCCTTCTCATCCATTACTATTAACAAGCTCTTAGAATGTCCCACTCTATCTATTAATACTATACACGAGGAGCGCTGTTCACTACATAGTACGGAGCAGATACAATCAGTCTAACCATGTAATGATCTAGTCTGGTTCCCAGTGATCTGGTCTGAATTTCTCTTTTTCTGAATGGTGACCTCTCCGAGAAATCCATTCCTGAACGATGTCTTGCTGAGCCTTCCTTTCCCCCTGTGTAGATACAATCAGAAATCAGCCAAAAGAGTGTCTCTTTTGTCCTTCCACGACACCCCGCCTCCTTCGTGAGTCTCCCCTCCAACAGCACGGGGCAGGAACTGAACTTTGGCAGTCGGGACGCTCTGACTTGCCTGCAATCTTGTGTTCCCCTTACCCCCTAATCGGAGCTTTTTCGGCAACTTAACCGTCTGGTTACTTTTGTTGAAATAAGTATTATGAACGGCGGACCATCATCTTGAGACTGAAACTGTTCACTTCCCTGACAATACTAGAAGTACATATTTCTTTTGGGACTTTCGATTTCCATAGTGATAGTCGTTTCTAGCTCCCGAGTGACAGTTTCTCCCCTGAGCCGGTGCCTAGGACTCTGATACCAATGCGCGTTTAGAGTCAGAGCTAGATTTCCACGTAGAATCCGCCACTGTGGGTTGAATGGGCCTGTCTAATATAGACTACTGCTAATGTATGCTTCTCCTGGGCCAGTTAGTCGGCCCAAGCTGATCAACACAAGTAGACGCCCACACGAGCTCTTGCTACTTTGCTCGATTTGGGTTGACTGCAAGCGGATGATCAAGACCAATAGCTGCCTGATAGACAGAGCTATGAAAAGTAGTCGCATGGCAACATGGACTATGTCTAACAGAGGAAGTAAGTATCATGATCCCGTTACACCGAGCTTTAAGCCCCTGAACTCGTTGTAACGGCGGGCGAAGACTGCTGCACTGCCGTTGTGAAAAACAAAGAAAAAGCTCATCAATTTGAACAATGCAGAATTACACAAGAACTTTTCCCGAGGAACACTTAAATAAAACAGTCATTTATCTGAGGCACAAGGCTTCTCGAACAATTTCCCTCATGGCTCCCCGTTGACCGTCTGTGTCAAATATCAATAGTACCTGGAATAGGCCCCGTCCGGAGTACATCTTCCGTCCCCGTAACCCCTATTCTAACCTCGCAATTCTCCATGGAGGAGAAACTCCAGAATGATCCATCACCTTTCCGACGAATGATGTCAAGGAAATGCCATCAGCTCCATTTAAAACATTCGAAGAAGAAGAAATGACCTTCTAGGAGGGATCCGCTCTCAATCCCCAATTTCTGGCTATGGGAATGGACTCACTCCTTAGACCACAAGCTAGAAGACGCTAGAGTGCGACCAGAACTCATGGCATGGTGATGTTCAATTAAAACTGGGGCCTTTCAAACCTCGTCAACAGCTTCACTCTGGGAGGTTTAATATTCGGCTTCATTAAATAGCTTATCACCACTATTTAACAGAGCAAGGTAGAATCCAGTTCCACAGCACGGAGTAGCTCTTCATCTATAATATGTAGGTGACTTCACAATAAACCTACTCCTATGCTGTAGATAACATGCCTTGCAGCTTACAGGCTACCACAGGGCCAGACTCCCGGTGCTGTGGCCAATTCCACTACTCGCCCCAGCAGTCCCGCCTCACCATTCACCACTAATCGTTAGGTAGTGCTTTAGTTAGTCCCGCGGCGTGGCTTCCGGAGGCACTGCACTGCCTTCGATGATCCCGGCAACGGACTCTCTAAGTGTATCGTAGAATATTCTTAGTCTGTTCGCAGCGGAATGGCCAATTTACCGTATTAATTAATCAAGCCACCATACCAGGTGATAGTACTTTACCAGATGAAGGCAGTGAGCCACAGGATGATCCGAAAATCGGAAGACGCCTACAACAGATTCGGGATACTCGAAATCCAACATGACTGTGAGACAAGCGCAGGGAGTACGAGGGCAAATCGCGTTGCTCGATCTTGTCACGCTCAGCACCTATGGTAATAGAATCCATCATCCTGTGAAATGAAGGCCAAGGATTTCTCATTAGGTAGTATTGTCAGGTGTGTGTGCGTCTACAAGTGACATTATAATACGGTGTCATCCTGCCATACATGGCAGCAGAACTGCATGATCCACTTTGCCGTGGCGAGGTTATGACAAATCTCATCATACAGCAACCCCCCTAAACGGGGCATGGCTATGGAGTATGGACTCGACTCCGTGCTAATCACTTTACGGCAAGGTTGTCAATCCTTCGAGTTCCAATCAGCAGCATGAGAAGCATACAGACTGCCGGTCCTCATGTCGCATACAACCGTCGTTAAACCATCATGGCTCTGATGATAATTGCTCTCCGTATGCAAAGAGTAGCGAGACTTCTTCCTGGTTCTCCCCAGCCATCACTGCTTATCCAGAACTGAGGTTCGAGTCATCGCCGGAATTCGCATGATCAAGGCCAAAAAAGCAAAAAAGGAAACTGGTCATCTCGCACTCCGACCTGTCCCAACTGACACTGGCACTGCGGACCAGGCGCTAAGGCTAACGGAGGAGAGGGGACGACATGATCATCAGGAGTCGCTGGCCAGCTGCGCGTAGAAGGTCCAGTCTGCTTACCAAACATGTCATTGATGCGTGATGTCAGAGTCGATTGTCTACTGTCGCGCTTTTCTGGTCAATTACTGATTCGACTCGGATGGTGCAATCGGTTGACGCAGACGCAGGCATGAGCAGGGTAGATACCTTAGGCAGCCTGCATCATCCCTGGTCGCCACTAGATAGCTAGTAGAACGCCACAAGGCGCCTCTTTAACTTATCATAAAGAGGAATGATAGACTACAGGAACAGATATGTAAACGGCAGGACGGGGCGGCAGCTGACAGTGACGCACAAGCTCAGTTTGTGATTGTACGCGCTTGTGTGCTTGCTTGATGGATGTCAGGACTGCATGCGCTCTGCCGTGCAATCAACGCAGAGTGGTACAGTATGAATATATATACTCGTATCCTATCAGAAGTGCTTGAACGGACTTGGACATTATGATATCAGATCATGTATCTGCAGCATAGTCGCAGATATTGATATAAGCAGCAACCAGATGTGATATGATCTTAGGACTGGCATTTACTATGCTTCTTGAGGCAGACTAGAACCAGCCCTTGCATTATTGCATCTGGGTCTCATGTCTGGGAACGTCAGATTGTAGTTTGCCATCGCTCAGCCAATGGAGTAGTGGGCTTCTCAGGTGCTGCATTCGCAATCCGGAGACTGTCTTTTCAGGTCTCTTGTAGGGTAGTTTGCTTTGCAACTGGATATCGATATATACCCAGCAAGCCCTCAGTTCTCTATTCAGAGCGCATAATATATCGACTGTCTTTTCCTTTGTCAGCCTAATGGCATCATCTTAAGAAGCATACAATAAAGAAGCTGATGGCTTCCTCACATTCTCCTTGAATTCGTTTATGGTCCTTACGATCCTCGGATATGAGCTGCGCATAGGTTATATATATTAACTTTTCATGCCTCTTTGATGGTTGATATATTCCGATTCCAGTCGACCACGCAACGCAACTATGTCAATTCAGCCTTGCTATATACTCAAAGTTATATGAGTTCTTTCCGTGGCGAGCAATCTGACATGGCATCCCCTGCAATATACCAACTCACCAAATGGCCAAACCGAATCCTTCAAAAGTTCCCTCAAATGTATCTACTCGGTATGCATGTGAGATGTGGATGAAGTAAGGGGTTACTAGAGATGCTCCACAGGGCATTCCCCAACACTCCGCAATGATGTAGATACTAGATTCCTTATCGAAATGAATTATGTGTTCTTGAGACAAAGTTCCTGAAGAATTTTTGTTCATATAGATACGGTGATGTGTGCACATTTCCCGAAACGGCCGCATTATAGCACTAGAGGTCAAGTTGTACATATCTACTCAAAAATCGTGCGTTCTCTTATTCAGGAACGAGCCATAAAGTCGGTAAAAATAAAGTCACTTGAATCATTGCTCTCATATAAGGAACTACAGCTCATGTTGAAGGCTGAAGGTGTAGACAGGTACCTGCGAGGAAAATCACACAACGAATCATCAGAACGGGTAAGAAGAACATCATGTCATCAATCAATAACCAGGTAAATCATTAAGAGGTTGGCCCAAAATTCCTGAATCTAGCTCGTTTCCGTCATGGAGCTGGTCATTGAATACTCCTCACAGCCAAGCAAGACCGATCAATCCCACAACGGCCGCCACGGACGCAGCTTTCGGGACTGTAGAGCCAGCCGCTGCATTGTTGTTCGGTTGAGCGCTGCCGCCATTGTTGGTGTTGCCGGACTGCGAGTTATCAGTATTACCGCCGGATCCAGTCGAACCGCCGGCATTGTTCGTCGCAGTTGGGGTTATACTACCCGAAGCAGTGCTCAGGATAGAGGTTGCAGCGGCCGCGTTATAAGTAGTAGTGGAGAAGGAGCAGGAGGTGAGAATGTCATATGCATCTGTACAGATATGTATTAGTTCTATTCATGGTTTGGGAAAGGCACATGCCATGCATAAGTCACCATACCATTGTCATGGGGCCCTCTGCGGTCGTCACGGTCATGGTCATGGTCATCGTCACGGTCATTGTCATGGCGAGTGCCATTGCGGGTGTCGTTTCTGAACTGGGAGATGCATGCTTCGCAGAGGGGAACCAAAGTAGGTGCCTGGTTCCAGTTGCAAATGCAGTTCATCTCCGCCCTGTCATCGTCGCGATGCGTGTTGTCGCACTGCTGGGCGATGCCCACCACAGAACTGCAGACGTCCCAGCAGCGATTAGGGACATCGTCACGGTCGAGCTCGGCTGCGAGAGCGATGTTGCTCGCGAGCATGAGGCCAGAAAGAGCGAGGAACTGCAAGGGACGCATTGTTGCTGGATTTGAGTTGTGGAAATGAATTGGACTGATGAGACTGGAAGCGGATTTCTGTATGTTTCTTGTGTTTTGAGGATGTAGACTGTGCGGTGAATTGCAGCGCGTTTATATATTGATCCTGCCCATCACTTCTTGGCGTGCCTCCCTTGATCGTCAGACTCCGAAACCAACGATATCATCGCCCAGGGTCCATATTCCACAGCGGTCTGTCTGCCGAGAGATTCAAAATAGAACAGGTGAAGTAGATGATCTGCTCCAACGGTCAGCTGTGGAAGAGCAAATGCGTCTCTAAGCCTCTCCAGATTCAAAGGCCAAGCATCATGTCTGAAGCAATGAGCCTGAAGATCGACACAGGATATCCATCTTCTCCAGCATCGGAAAGCAGCTGCCTGAAAGTCTGATAATCCATTGATCCGGTTTATGCCTGCCAAGAATGCGTTCATCGCTGCTAGACGGGTAAGGCGGGGGCTACAGCCATTCATGGCTGCAGATGAACCCTGGAGATAGTCGATGATGGTTTGTGATTGATCCAGAGAAACTGGAGAGGTTGTGGGTCAATTATTGTGGCTGCGTCCGCTATGAGTAATGAGTTGAGAGCTCAAAACCCAAAATCCTAGCATCCTCTTGCATTTGGTCGAGCTGATCGTTGCAATTACCATAGTTGGAAAATGCCTACAACTCGAATCACAAACAGCGGAATGGAACATCCCTCAATGTTTAAGGCGTGGCAGAGGAATGCGTTAAGTTCATGATGTCATTCCAAGATCGCTGCTCTGCTTCAAAGATAAGTTGTCGACATATTGCATTGGAAGAAACCATGAACAACACAGCGATGGATTGACAGATCCTGATTTAGAAAAATCAGTGATGTGATAGGCCTCTACACTGCTGCACCTCCTGCACAGGAATTGCAGCCCAAGTCCAGGGTGTGTCAAATCAATGCAAAACCGCAAACTGGGGTACTGCACAGCCTCTCCGCTATATATAGTTTGGTCCCCAGCACAATGATATTGTCATTTAAAGTTCTGACAACCAGTTAGAGGAATAAAAAAAAGATGTTGCCTAGTTGGAAGGAGACTGCGAAACCCCAAAAGGTAGCCATCAAGCAATGTTCTGCATGTAACATCAACTGTATTGGAGGAGCATTGGGGCTGATGCTACGGGGTATCTTGGCGGACAAACGGCAGGAAAATGAGCGGATTCATGAATACCATACGGGAAGAAGCGTTTGCTGTCTTCTTGATACCTTTAAACTGGACCGAGATGCACTTGTAGAAGGAATAATTGCAATGATCGCTGAATATCTCTGTGTCCCAGATGTCGGATTTCTCCGCGGCGTCTTATCATGCTCTGATATCTTCGATTATCACTTTCAGAGACTTAGAGCGGCACTTAACTGGGGCTTTATGCCCAAGAAGACTTAGATCATGATGAGGTCAAGTCACGTATATAACTAGGTCGATTGCATGATTGGTCCGGAGTCAACAACCCCTCCGCAAAGAACACCGAACTTGTTCCTCGGACTATCGGTCACAAACATCTGAGGATCTGGAAGTTCATTGACAGTAGCCTTCGGAACTGCTTCCGTGTTCAGTTCGTGGGTCCGATTGTGAAAGTTACTACGTTTTCATGGCACGAGCTGCTATCGGTAAGATGTCATGGGATAAATACATTCTGCGTTCAGTGCAAGAGGCACCGCCTGTTCATCTTCCGCTCTTCCTATACGGCACAGCGTGGAAGAAAGACCGGACAGCCGACTTGGTGTACCAGGCACTGAATGCAGGATTCAGAGCGGTTGATACGGCTGGTCAGCCAAAGCATTACCAGGAGGATTTGGTAGGAGAAGGTATTCGCAGAGCGATTCATGATGGAATACTTCGACGGGAGGATTTATACGTGAGCTGAAGCCTGAATGTGAGGGTCTCTTGACGCTCGCTAAAGTAAGAATAGATTCAGACAAAATTTACGTCCGTTCAAGGGCAGGATCCCAATAAAATGCCCTATGATCCCAGAACTTCGGTGACAGATCAGGTTCATGCCTCGGTCAAGTCATCCCTCCACAATCTTCGCGCGCCAGATGCCTCATCGAGTGTTGAAGATGCTTACATTGATACATTTCTTCTTCACTCGCCTCTGTCCACAATGGCTGAAACTATGGAGGCTTGGCTCACGCTTGAATCATACGTGCCTCATCGCATCCGCAACCTGGGTATATCAAACTGTACCTTACCAATCCTGAAGGAACTTTATGCCCGTGCGACGGTTAAACCGGCGGTGGTCCAGAATCGCTTCTATCCTGATACGCGATTCGACGTCCCAGTGCGCGCCTTCTGTCGGGCCCACGACATCATTTACCAAAGCTTTTGGACTCTGACGGCCAATCCGGAACTAGTTCGATCAGATGCGGTTCAATCATTAGCGAGTCAGGCCGAGATCAGTCCTGCAGCAGCATTATACTGTCTTGTCCTGGGCCTGGGTAACACAACTGTCCTGAACGGCACGACCAACAGGGCTCGGATGGAATCGGATTTGGCTGCTGTCAGGAAGGTCGAGCAATTTAGCAAGGACAGTCCCGATTCATGGCAGATGGTACTGGACTATTTCAAGAGAGTCATAGGCGACGATGTGACACTGTAAAGAAGTAGTTCATTTATCTCACTGTCTTGATCTGACATTCCATATGAGTATCGGAGTTGTTCGTCACTTGCAGGAGGAGTGGCAAATACGCAGAGGGAACATGGAATCAATCGAAATCAGTCGAAATCAATGGAAATCAACGGAAATCAATTGAAGCTTCTAGATCGAAGATCGAAACACGAAGGGAGCGCGAGATAGAGAAGTATGGGAAAAGCTTCAGAAAGGATTCGGCCGTAATCTCGGATCAAAGATATGCCTTAGGCCAGAAACAGTTAAGACGGCGACACAAAGTTCTTATGATAGCGCGAGATGATTGGTCGGCAAGTTAATTGAAGTGGGCGCATCAGGTGGGCAGTCCCATATATAGCAATTCGAGGATGACTTTCCATAGGCCTCAACTCTATCTCAATAACACAGATACTGCAATCGCAGAAGTCCAGCCTGAAAGACATTACATATCGATCTTACAGCGGTCAATTTCTGCATGTTGTTGATGACCTCCAGATAATTTCGGGTTTCAATGTGAAAGCGGGTCAGCGGCACGTGCTTTGGGCACTAGAGCGCTGACTCATCACAGAAGCCAATCGCCAGGCGAGATTTGGGCAGTCACAGCAGGTGATCTCATTTATCCGCCGCCAAGCCATCTCGACAAGAGGGATTTGCCAGTTTGTTGGCCATCTTGCGTTTTGCTGTTCTTTCTGCTAAGCATTCAGAATCGACCTGTACTTTTTCCCCTCATCGTACAGTCTTCTATCATCCTCATTTGGTTGTGCAGCGGCCGTTGGCATCGTCTACATCGTGTCCGTCAGCTTTTCCGACCCACAACCTCTGTTCGTCAGCAATTATTTGGCGCTCGCAGTGCTCGACCGCCTAAGACGGGACTGTATCCGGTAGCAATAAGTTCACCCATCCCACTGTCATTATCCTTGGTCCTTGCGGAATTGTCTCCCGGTGCTTCCTGTCTATTGTGTCCATCGTTGCATCCGGGCCTGCGAGGCGTCTGTCGCGTCTGTCGCGTCTCCGCCATCCATAACTCTCCTCTTTCCTGCCGTCAGCAACGCCGCTCTCATCCCACTGTCGTCAGGTGTTCTCTGCTTCCCTCTCGGCGATAAAAAGACATTACGATCGGGCTTTTGTTGCGATTATCCTGACAGGCTGTGCCACTGCGCCATTTCCTTCTCCTCTCCCCGGCTACAAGTCACCCCAGTATTGGACAAACCTTCGAAGTGATTTACATCCTCTGGCGACAAATCTTAGAAATCTTCAACGTCGCCTGTGGCCAGATTCCAACCAAAGAATACCGCAATAGTTGTTCCAGCGATTACTTCCGACCAAGCAGAGTCGTCAAGTCTGTCGCCTGTAATGAGTTCTCAAGGCGTAACTCGCAAAAGACCTGCTCCTGGCACAACCCCTCCTGTTCATCCCCAGCTGAGCCCAATCTCGAACTACCCCGCCGCGAATCCCGGCTCTCAGTTATCGAATGATCAGTTTTTGCAATGGGGTCAGAACCCTCCCAATGTCATAACACCACCTTACACCGATGCCGGCTCTTACAACATCGCGCCTTATACGACAAATCAAGACGTTCCGGGAGCCACAGTCACCGCATCTACCCAGCTTGCTCGCCGGCAGCTGCCGAATCAGCTAGTCAATAGGGGTCGCGGTTATGAACAAACGCCGTCTGTTTACTCCGATCATAGCAGTGGCGCTGGAGAACCTGGAGGATGGGGAGAAAGCCTGGATGAGCTCTATCGGCGGGCATTGGTCGCAAAAAGAGAGGCGCAGGCAAAAAGAAAACAGATACCCCCTTTTGTACAAAAGTTGAGCAGGTATGCCATTACTGAGATGTGCTCGTAAACACGATGCTAACTGCTATGGTTTTAGTTTCCTCGACGAGTCGAAAAATACCGATCTTATACGATGGTCTGATGATGGAAATTCCTTTATCGTGTTGGACGAAGACGAATTCGCCAAAACTCTGATTCCCGAACTCTTCAAGCACAATAACTATGCTTCTTTTGTTCGTCAGCTGAACATGTACGGATTCCATAAGAAGGTGGGTCTGTCCGACAACTCGATGCGAGCCAGCGAGCGGAAGAACAAGAGTCCCAGCGAATATGCGAATCCCTACTTCAAACGTGGCCATCCGGATCTACTGTGGTTGATACAAAAACCCAAGAACACCTCCGGGCAAGGCAGCAAGTCAGGGAAGGGGAATGTGCGAGTGAAAACGGAGGAGGTCGATGAGAACGAAAATGATGACTATGGTGAAGATGGTGCGTCCCGGGATGATCGTAACCGCAGTCGCCAACTATCTTTAGTCCCCGGAAGCATGATGCCCAAAGACCAACTTGCGGGTGTCTATCGGGAATTGCAGGCCATTCGGCAGCAGCAGCAAATCATTTCGAACACCATCAGCAAGCTGAGGAGAGAGCACGAACAGCTCTATGCGCAGGCTGCCAATTTCCAGGAACAGCATAATCGCCACGAGAATTCCATCAATGCCATCCTTACTTTCCTGGCCACTGTGTATAATCGCAGCCTCCAGGGACAGGACGGACCGCAGAATCTTGCCAATTCTTTCGCGGGTGTCATCTCACAGGATCAAGGTAACGTGGTCGACGTGGGCGATGACTTTCCACTGAGCGCGCTAGGTGCGGCCAATCTCAATAGCCCAAATGCACAGCGATCGATGAAGAAACAGCCTTTGCTGCTGAAGGCTCCTCCGACGACTGAGCGTCAGAATGGTCGCGCTACAACGCTCTCCCCCGCAGGTAGCACCTATAATCGCTCACAGTCTCGAAGCCATAGCCGACAACCCAGTGTTGCTCAGGCTGGCCACGTCGAGGAGGTCTTTGAAACGAGCCCTACGCAAAAAGATGCCACGAATTCGCAGAATCGGCAGTATCCCCAGAGCGACATAATGTCTGTCATTCAGAATACGAATGCGCGGAATGGTATTCCCACGACCTTTGCTGAATTTCCCAACGTGCTTTCATCCCTCGAGACTTCTGGCGGTAATTCTCCACTCACCCCAAATCAACGTGCAGATATGCTCCGACTCATGGCCAATGAATCTCACACCGATCCAAATATTCCAGTGCCTTCCAACAATGCTTTGATAACTCCGACGCCTCCACCCATGCCGCATAATTATAATGGCCGTCTTGCAAATACCCGTGCCGAGATAGACAACCTGATGAAGATGCAAGCCGAACAAGATCGTTCTGTACAGAACCTGACCAATCTCTTGCAACCGCTTAGTCCCACCGGGACCATTCCGGGACTTGCAGGAGGAGAAAATGGAAGCGTACCCCCACCCGCGCTTGACCTTGACCAAATCTTCAATAACGACTATTTCACGGACATTGGAGACCTTGAGCACAATAAGCCTAACATAGATTTTGGCGATACAACAAGCTCGGTTCCCGCGCACGCACCAGTCGACGCGCCCGTCACTACAGGCGCGGAAGACGTCAAGGATGGAAGCGACCTGTTCGACTTCGACCAAATCCCTCCCGAGGGCGATCTTTTCGATACGTCGACGGCCGCGCAACAGCAGAGCCCCGCTTTCTTCAATGGGTATGACGGTGCTGGCTATCATGCTGGCTCCGGGACAAACGGGCACACACCCATTGGCCACAAGACTCACAACGGAGATTCCGGGCGGATTGTCGAAACTCTCACCGACAGTGAAGCAACCAGTCCCAGCACTAACGTGGACGAGGTACCACAATACACTGGCCCGGCCGGGCTCAATGAATCTCACGGAGGTAAGGGAAATGGCGGCAATGCGAAACGACGCAGGAAGGCTTGATGTTGCATGACATCTACTAACTTGGCTTCGAGTCAATGAAGAAAGCGAGGAGGTAATCGTATGAGCCAGAGACGCACGAGTGGAACCAGGTCAGCAACGAGGAATCCCTACGGCGTGGAATATTCGGTGGGCGATCTGAACTTTTACGAAATTCAAGTCATACGTTTCATGATACCGTCTTCAATTTATGTCACCCTTTCCCATTTACCGAGCTAGCAAAGTAGAACAACAAAGTACTTTGCGGTCGATAACGGCACATAATGACGACTCTAATTTCTTTTCTTTTCGTTTCCTTCTTTCTACAACTCCTTCTATTCTACCAACATGGGCAACAACAACAAACACCTTGATCAAGATTATGAATTTTTGGGGTGGGATGATTCTATCTTGGAGGTTATCTCAGCGAGTCCATCCAGAAAACGGAATGATGGGCCTTGGTGCTGGGGAGCAATGTTTATGTCTTGTGATGTATGACTGGTTTCATGATTGAAGTACATAGCAACCTTTCAAACACGGCAAATATACTACTGTTCGTGTATATGCAAGGCTCAATCATCTGTGTATTTTATAGCCGGCACTCTAGGGCGCCTCACTGGCTGGTAGATGGCCATTCTAGAGAGGATCTTAGTGAGCGACAGGGTTAAGGGTCAGGCTTCACTAGAATCCATAGCTCGTGGGACTCATCGAGGGAATAGACGTTGTTAAGGTATACTTCAAGTTCCATTGGACATATCATGACATCACGGCTTCTCCCTCCTCCTTCGATCCCACTCTTGATCGCCAACACGCTCCCGCTTGCGATCCCGCTCACGATCCCGCTCAAGGCCGCGCCGTTTCCCACCCACGAACTCCTTCTCGCGTTCCCGCGGATCAATCACAACAAGGGAGTCGACATCGTCTGGGTGCTCGCGCTTCCACTGCAGATCTTTGCCGAGCATATCCTTCCCGAAGTTGAGTTCGTGCGTCAACCAGTCCCGGTCGTCGTCGTCGGGGGCCGCCTCTGCGGCGCCGGTGTCGTCCCATGATTTGCATGACTGGCAGTTGGCTATAAAGTGGAGGTCGCAGATCTGGGCCTCTTCATCTTCCGGTTCGGTGTTGGGGTTGGCTTGCGAGGTGTGTTTCGTGGTGTCTGAGGCTGAGGCTGAGATTGGAGTCTTTTCGTGAGGGGCGGACTTGGCGTCTG